CCCCCCCCCCCCCCTTCCCTTTAAAAAAACAAAACAAATTGTACTAGAAGATTTGCCGGGCCCGATCGAATTCTTGATCTGGCCACCGATGTCTAAACGTAGGTGATTGAATTGTGCTAATTTTTATTGATTAAGATAAAACAGTTTTCCATACAGCCGATTCATCATGATCTTGTGCACAAGTTTGCTTTGAGGAGATCTGTGTTAAGTACGTCCGACCGTGTAAGTGTAAACCAATAATGAAGACGCTTGACCCGTGGAGGCCACCGGTGGCCTGCTGATCATCTAAGGGTTGTTGTTGTCATCGGTGTTGGGTAAGTCTACAAAGTTTCAGCTGTATTGGAGATCAGGAGGTGGGTCGAAATTCCACCACATACTAACCTAAAGAGCAACCTAAGAAAAGATGGGCTTTAAACCCATCAAAATTCATTGTTTCGAAGGTTAACCAAGGACATATATTTTGTCTTTACACCGACTGAATTTTTGTTACTTTCACTACTGAATTTTAATTTTGGTTTGCTTTTGCTGTGACCCCAAATCAAGTCCTTCCCTTTCCCCCTCTCTCCCTCTGAATTCTTACCCTCTCTCTCCATCCTTCCTCCGTTCGTTCCTCTCTATCTCTAATCCCCCTCTCAAAATCCCTTCCCCCTCCCTCTCTCTCTATCCTTCCCCACTCTCTCTCCCACTCTCAATCTCTCCCACCCCTTTTCCAAATACTTTACACAACATATTACATAAGCGCATTTTAAAAACTAAATAAAAAAATAAGAGCTCTTCTACGCCATCAACACCCTATTGTCAAAATGAAGTAATATTTGTATGTTTTGATAACTAGCATTTTCTTAGAGCTGAAGAAATTATTGGGACACATAAGCAGAGAGAAAAAAAACGAAGAAAATGTGCTTGTAAAATATTATTTAAAAATGTTTTTGCATCTAGATGTCATTCATAGACAAATACAAAGGTCAGTGGGGTCACAATTGTTGAGACAAACATTTTTTTTTTTAAAATTACATTTTTGTTTTTCTGCACCCCACCTATAGGCAACAAACAGCTTTTGGGGTTTTCTACACCCCACTCATTGACAGGTTTAAAGGCTATCTGGAACCCCACTCATTGACACCAGGTTTGGAGGTTTTCTACACTCCACTCATTGACACCAGGTTTGGAGGTTTTCTACACTCCACTCATTGACAGGTTTAAAGGTTATCTGGAACCCCACTCATTGACACCAGGTTTGGAGGTTTTCTACACCCCACTCATTGACATCAGGTTTAAAGGTTATCTGGAACCCCACTCATTGACACCAGGTTTGGAGGTTTTCTACACCCCACTCATTGACATCAGGTTTGGAGGTTTTCTACACCCCACTCATTGACAGGTTTAAAGGTTATCTGGAACCCCACTCATTGACACCAGGTTTGGAGGTTTTCTACACTCCACTCATTGACAGGTTTAAAGGTTATCTGGAACCCCACTCATTGACACCAGGTTTGGAGGTTTTCTACACCCCACTCATTGACAGGTTTAAAGGTTATCTGGAACCCCACTCATTGACACCAGGTTTGGAGGTTTTCTACACTCCACTCATTGACAGGTTTAAAGGTTATCTGGAACCCCACTCATTGACACCAGGTTTGGAGGTTTTCTACACCCCACTCATTGACATCAGGTTTAATGGTTTTATGGAACCCCACTCATTGACACCAGGTTTGGAGGTTTTCTACACCCCACTCATTGACATCAGGTTTAAAGGTTATCTGGAACCCCACTCATTGACACCAGGTTTGGAGGTTTTCTACACCCCACTCATTGACATCTGGTTTAATGGTTTTCTGGAACCCCACTCATTGACACCAGATATGGGGGCTTTCTACACCCCACCCATTTGGCACCAGGTTTAATGGTTTTATGCACCCCACCAGATTTGGGAACAGGAATATTTAATTATCTCATACCTTTAGTCAAAGGGAAGTGGACTATTCATTTTGCTGTTACCTGGGGGTTTAAAACAAATCATATTTAACATTTATTATTAGAGATTTCTCTACCCTTTAGAGTTTAGAGAATTCAATTCTTTGTTTTTTACTCTTCGTCTAATTAAAAAAAAATGTTTTAAAAAGGAAAACAAATTAATAACATTTATATTTATTTAGTAAGATCCCAACAAGAGTCTTCATACAATGAGACTGGGAAACTCTGAAGTAATAATCAATAAGTTGCTAAGTAAAATTATAATACACAGATTCTCAAAGTGCCCTTACCGTGGTGTATTGGGAACAAAAATTTACTTTAAAATACTTTCTTGGAATGGAAAAGACTTTAAAACTTAATTGTCCCGTATAATGCAGTTGGTGGCATATTTTAATGTCATGATTGAATGGTGGCATATTTTAATGGCTTGATTGAATGGTGGCCTATTTTAATATCATGATTGAATGGTGGCATATTTTAATGACTTGATTGAATGGTGGCATATTTTAATGTCATGATTGAATGGTGGCATATTTTAAATGTCATGATAGAATGGTGGCATATTTTAATGTCATGATTGAATGGTGGCATATTTTAATGTCATGATTGAATGGTGGCATATTTTAATGTCATGATTGAATGGTGGCATATTTTAATGGCTTGATTGAATGGTGGCCTATTTTGATATCATGATTGAATGGTGGCATATTTTAATGACTTGATTGAATGGTGGCATATTTTAATGTCATGATTGAATGGTGGCATATTTTAATGTCATGATTGAATGGTGGCATATTTTAATGTCATGATTGAATGGTGGCATATTTTAATGTCATGATTGAATGGTGGCATATTTTAAATGTAATGATAGAATGGTGGCATATGTTAATGTCATGATTGAATGTTGGCATATTTTAATGTCATGATTGAATGGTGGCATATTTTAATGTCATGATTGAATGGTGGCATATTTTAATGGCTTGATTGAATGGTGGCCTATTTTGATATCATGATTGAATGGTGGCATATTTTAATGACTTGTTTGAATGGTGGCATATTTTAATGTCATGATTGAATGGTGGCATATTTTAAATGTCATGATAGAATGGTGGCATATTTTAATGTCATGATTGAATGGTGGCATTTTTTAATGTCATGATTTAAATTGTCACTCAAACTTTGAGACACCCATTAAAATAGAACATGAGTTTAAACAATCACTGGGTCTCTTGGTCGAATTTTTCAGCCGGTGACCCCCATGGAAATCTTATCGTAGCCCCTTTAGAGGCCACCTGCCGTAGGCTGGAAACCTGCGCTCTAGTTCTAGTAGCTTGATTATCCCAAGATGTTCATGTGCCAAACTCCCTTTATATTATTTAGTGTTTTTTGTTTTTGTTTTTTTGTTTGTTTGTTTTTTGGTTTAAAAATGTATTTCTCAAAATCAACATTGTAAGACATATGTAAATTGATACATTTATGCTTTTTTTTTGTTGTTGTTGTTGACATGAATCTCTTGTTACTACAAGTTGTTAGAAACATTTGCTGTTAACTTTTAGTGATGGATTAGAAAACAGAGTTAACACATTAGAATGAAGTATCTAGTAGCAATTGAACAACCTGACAAATAATCGTAAAATAGTTGTTTATCCCTTAATGCACAACAACAATTGAACAACTATAAATGTCGACTCTTTTTAAATCCTTAATATTAACTTTGCTTTTGTTCGTGTCTTTCTTTCTTTCTTTCTGTCTGGGTGTGTGGCACAAATCTTCGGACGGCTAACTGACCCACTTCCAGTCAACCTATCGAGCTGAAACTTGGCAGATGTTTTGTTCGTCCATCAGCATCGACTAGGACCATCTAGACATCCGGTTATGGGTGGAGGGGGGGGTCACGGTGAGTTCGTATGTGGCTTGCTAGTCCCATCTGTCCTCGGAATGGTCTCTGGCTCCGCGGGCAGGGGATAGTTGCCTTTTAGTTGGTGATCTAATGTTGCTTTTTCGGGCTCGCCTGCGTGTCTCAGCTGTGGCTATCCTTCTGGCCTCATAAGATTGAGCCCCCATCTTAACAGCTGATCTCCACCTGGCTCTGTCCTGGGCTGTCTGCACCCATTCAATAGGGTTGATGCTGGAGGCATTTAGTGCCGCTTTCATTGAGTCTTTGTAACACTTTTTTTTTTTACCTTCTTGGGAGCTCATGCCTAGTGTAAGTTCTCCGAAGAATAGCTTTTGGAACATGACTCGTCAAATGGACATAAACTCGTTGCCGATGACAACACATT